TGCCTACGGCCTTGCCTATGAAAACAAACCTATTTCACATTAAGACCAAACACAAAACTTTTTGCAAGTAGCCAGGCATTTATGAACAATTTCCCCCAAATTACTGGCAATATGAAGTCCATGGACATGTACAGAAACAACGTATAAAAAGACTGCTGAAGTGAAATGAAGAGAATCATGGACTTGTACATCTTTAACTTGATTAAAGCAGGAAGGCATCTTCCAGATGTTGCTGAGGCATTAATACTCTCAAACATTTCCAACAAAGTCTTTAATAATTAGACACCAAGACAATTTTGCCATGTTTTCAACCCCATCTTTCCAAACTGTTCAACATCCATTAAAATGCAGCAACGGTAAAAGCCCTTAAGAAATAACACAGAGGATGTTTCAAGCCAGAGTCCTGGACCAGTTTATGAGGAACTGACCTATGAGAAAATGAGAAGCTGAATTTTATTTAACAATTTAAAAACAAAATCCCAAATGCGTAGCAGCAGAAAAAAACAAATGCCAGGAGTCATTTGTTAATTGAAGTCCTGAGGCGGGTTACCCACTGACCCTCAAACCTGGACTAACCGTGGCCCATTTCCGTCTGGGCGTAGGTGCCAATTATCTGGAGTCCTTTGGATGAATGCAGCCATTTCTCTTGCTGAGCAGTGGTGCCCTGATTCAGCAAGGTAGGAATAAACATGGAGTAATTGAGGCTCACAGGTTCCACAAAATTGACCAAATGTAGTCTACAGGAGAGAAAAGAAAAGGAGCTCAGCCTTACTCTAGAAACTGCATTCTACCACCCACTCCTGCCAAACAGCATGGCCCTCAGGAGGAAGGTTAGGAAAACTGGAACCCCTTTCTTATGAAATTAAATGTAAAATTTACCATTTTACTACCCAAAAGGCCAACAGCAGAATCTAGTGGTATCTCTTCCCCGCTAGTCACGTCAGGGCTAGAATTACTCTTTAATTCTATCCTTAATCCAGGAAGCAAATTCTACCCATGTTTTAGCCTAAAAACCCCTTTTGTTTTTGGTTTTGAAGTTATTTGTTGGTTTGATTGGCTGGATTTTTGGGAGTGTGTGTTTGGTTTTACTTTATTTTAGATTTTACTTGTTTGTTTCGAAAATCAAAAGGAACTCCACAAACACTTCATTTGTAGTGCTGTTAACAAAAGTTCCCAGAAGAAGAATAGTTTAAGCTATCTTTCCCTAGATAACTGAAGCAAACATTCAGGATAGAGTTTTCAGATGGTAATGTGAGCATGTCAAAAATTTATCTCTAATGGTCTTTGAACATTACTCCAGATTAAAGGAATTCTAATCATAATACAATTCAGTCTATAACTATATTCTCATAAAACAGAATCTGTGAAACAGTCAAAATACAACTTACATTAGTCAGCCTTGGCTCGGGTATGTTATAGGTTTTATAGGGGTCTGTTTTGTTCTATCTATATAAAGAGCTTAAAGTACCAAATAAATGCCATCTAACTGATTTTCATGACTTCTCAAGGGATGAATAGGAAGCTGTGTCACCACCAGTTAATTGTGATTGGTACAACAAATAGAGCATGAAGTAAAGGAAGGAGGGGGTAGGCTTCCAATTCACTTTTAAGGAGGCCCTGAAACCATGCCACCACCTTAAAAGAAACAAGAGACAACAGTAAACACAATATATCATTTTATTGTCCTATTTTCTAAATAAGTACTACACAAATTATCCCATTTTCTTTTCTATCTTAATAAATCATAATCCACTTGTGAACAATTCTCTCCGTGTACACACTTAGCTATTAATATTTCTAATTAACCAAAATGAATTAATGTAATCATTACAGAGTCCATCAGAGGGAATGACTTCTGTGCTCTAAGTCGTATGTGAACGTCAACAGAAGCTGCTCACTAGCATCAGTAAAAAATATTTTCTTTGCTGCTGATGGTTTTCAGGCATGGGTTTAGGGTGGAAGATCACCTTTCAGAGATGCTGGGGATAAATTCAAGAATCCAAGGAGCCAATATTGAGAATGCTTTTTAACCCTGAGATTCTAGATTTTTACACCAATATCAAATGTTCATTTAAACTGAATAGCGGGAGAAAGAGGAAAGGAGGAGTATGAACAGAAGAGGCGAGGTAACCGGTTTCTTAGTAACTCCCATTAGCAGTTGACTGCTGCTGTATGGCAGAGAAGTAACGCATTCATGAAACACACCCTACGCCTCACTGAGGTGTGGGAGCCAAAACCTGATTCAGTAGACAAATGTAGAAATTATTCTCTCAAAGGCAAGTCACCACAGCATTCTCTTGTAACAATCCTGTCTCACTAAAACCAACAAGTATTTATCTACCTTCTATTTCCTTTCATAAGTAGAGAGGACATGAACATACAAGAACTTCTGAGAAATAAAAGCAGTAATCTAAGTGCTCAAAATGGTGGAAATATAAGACACTATTCCAATGATGGAACTAAGAAAGCTGAGAGCAACTTAGTCAAATCCTCTGGGTTAAAAAATAATGCTGTTGACACAAAATAATTCTACGAAACAGAGAGGGAAAAATATGTGACAGAAAATAAAGACTGTCAAATCTTTATCTTCTTAAGAAACATATTGAGATTTTTTTTTTAGGCCACTTGAAAATCAACTCAAGAACAAAATCTGAGTGCTTATTTTTAAATTATGTTTAATCCCTCCTAAAGATGCTTTTCAAGGAACCAGCTTTAAAAACCTAAGGACGACAAAACCATGACCGATTCTCATTAGAATTTTAAAAGACAAAATTACAGGAAAGGAGACCAGGGAAACAACTTTTATATTCCCGAAAAAGCAAGGTCTTATTTTCTCAAGGACTGGAGAGAACAGTTATTTTACCGCTCAAGTGGAGAAATCTCAAAGTATTTTACTAATATTCAGTCAACTTCAAAATATTCTCATATATGAATTTTATTTTGTGATAGGAGAAATGGATGTAAGAGACCAGGAAATGCCCAAAATTCCCAGGAAGAGAAATATTACTGTATTTCGTCAATTCCAGCATCCCTCCTTCCCCCCAATTTTAGCATTTAAGAAATTCGAAGCATCTCACAATTAATGGTATGCCATAGTTAACTTTCTTAATTAACTGTGTAAACATGCGTGTGAGTTACAACTGGTGGCAGGCTTAGACTCAAACGCATTCAGTTATTTGCCAAGATTAATTTTCAACCCTCTTCCCTAACGTAAGTTGATCTCCCTGTCACATTCTAGGGATACTGGAAGGATGTCAGAGGGTGTGTTGAAGTTTGTACTTTATACTTCCCAAAGAGCAAGGTCTGTATCATGAAAAATGATAAATAAAACAACTGGCTGGTGTCCACTGATCTTTAACCCACATAAAGAACTTTGTTCTATTTCATCTTGACTTCACTCCAGTCTGGTTACTTACATGGACTATCACAGATTATGAAATCTTCTAACAGATCCTGAAACACTGCATCAACCATTTAAAAGCAAAACAAAACAAAAAATCTTTCATGTCCTTTTAAGGGAAAACAAAATCTTACTAATTTTTTAAAATTTACAAACCCAACTCAGGTAATTCAGAAACATAATTTTCTAGGAGTTACTCTACCTCAATATCTACACAGCCATGAGTTACAAACTTTAAAAATAAAAAAGAGCATTCCGAGGGGCCAGCCTGGTGGCAGAGTGGTTAGGTTCACAGGCTGTGCTTTGGCTGCCCCGGGGTTCGTAGGCCCAGATCCCGGCACGGACCTGACCACTGCTCATCAGGCCATGCTGTGGCGGCCTCCCATGTAAAGTGGAGGAAGATGGACACGGATGTTAGCCCAGGGCCAATATTACTCAGCAAAAAAGAGGAGGATTGGCAACAGATGTTAGCTCAGGGCTGATCTTCCTCACCAAAAAAAAAAAAAAAAAAAAAAAAAGAGCATTTGGAAGTTAGTAAGTACTCTTATTTGGGCTACCAAAAATAAATAAATTGTATATTTATAACCAAAATGGAAAGGAGTTCTGAGGATGGTACTAAGGGCCAGAGTAAATTATTTCACCTTTACAATAACAACCAGGTCTGACTGAAAATAATTAGATACAAAATGTATTAGAGACACTAAGGGAGAAATAACCATCACTACAGAAAGGCAGAGCCTGTAATGAATATACACCATTCATATTATTTAATCTTTATTGATGAAAATATTGGAGTTCTTCTAAAATGTAGAAACCTAAAAGAGGAAATGCCCAGGAATAAATGGGAAGTGTAAAAGATGCTATAGCCCAAAGGAATCTTGTATTAAGATCACGTAATTATAGAGTGCTTATTTACATAAAGACCAAAAAAAGTGCATACTTCGTTTCTAACTAAAAAAAAAAACACAACAAAAAACGGATGGTCTGAAAAAGGACATACTCTTTCTAGCCCTAGGACCAAGGCATGTTTTTATGAGGTCTCATATGCAGGAAATCCATTTAAATACTGTCACCAGATTCAACAATGCTTGGTTCTTAGACTACTTTATAATCATTCTGAGATTTCACATGTTCTTCTTCACCCATCCCATATTTTCCATTATTTTAAACTCAAGAGCTACACTATCATATGAAAATACAATCTGCTATTGCTCCAAAATATTTAAATGTTAGATCTTGCAACTGGAAAAATCCTTCCGAATTCAGCTTCTAAATTTAGCAGGCCTTCTTCTTAACAAAGAACTAAGTCATTGTACATTTAAATCACTCAAAATTGAGATGCCTGGGCAAAAGAATTTGTACAATACTTGAGAATGAAAATTGCAGCATCTACACTAATTATCAGCATTCTACAAATGTCATCCGTTTAAACGGCTTAAATACAAAACTAACATTATTTTCCACAGATATAACTTTCAAGTGGCGTAAAAATGTGCAGTTTGAGTCTTCAAACCCCAAGCACGATGAAAAAGGACACCACAGACCAAAGATTTAAAATTTGGGTTTAGGCACTTGATCTAAGTTACCAAGGCATACCTACTTTTTAAACCACATGATTTCATCAGGGTCTGCGATGCCAAACTCCCTCATCTTCTTCACCATGTTGGCACTCTTCCTAACAGCCACCTCGTAACGCTGGCTGCGAGTGAGAAAGTTCAAGTCCTCATGCTGGAAGTCTGGGTCTTGCAGAATCAGGTTCTCTGGGAGTTAAAGAGCATCAAAAGGGAGACAGAAATTCAAGGCTCTGTTACACCTCCCTTAATCACAGCTAGTTTCAGAGTTGCACGCACAGGTCCCCTCTCGGGATGGACGATCCCCACCCCCGCCATAGGCGGCCCCTGGAAGTGGTTGTCCGGGTTCCCCTAAAGCTAGGCCAGAGGTTGCGGCCTACACCCCACAGCGTCCCCCGACTCCTCATCGAGGTAGTCTCCAGCCTTGCTCGGGGAAGGAGGGAGGCCCAGCGCGACACCCTCACCGATCTCTCGGCGGCGCCGGGTGTTCTCGGCGCTGCCGTCCAGGATGTGCGTGAGCAGCTCCGGGTTGAAGCTGGCGGCGGCCCGCTCCCTGCGCAGGTCCGGGTTCATGGTGACGGCCAGCAGAGGCAGCGGCGGCGACAGCGACAACGAGTGTCCACAACTCCAGCGCAGGCCCGGCCCTAAGAGCCGCCCCAGGTCTGCGCGAGTCCCCGCCCCGGCCCGCCCCTTCTCCTTCCCGCGGTCCCTCGGCGCGTGAGCGGCCGCGGCGGAGACAGAGACGGCACCCGCGCGGCCCCGCGGGCGCTTCGCGGGACGCGAAGCGGGCGACTTCCTTGCTCTTGGCCAGAGGAACCCCAGAGCGGCCCCCCAGGAGGGGACTCTGGAAAAAGGTCAAGAAATTGCACCGAGTTGAATACCGAGGCGGCCTTGGTAACGCTCCCTCCCCCGTCACGTGATCACGCGGGCCGGAAAAAAGGAACCCTAGGCCGCCCGACGCCCACACAGGTTGGCGAGGGGGTTGGGAAGGGGCGGGACAACGCGGCTGAGGAGGACTGCGCCTGCGCCATGGGACTCGCACGCCCTACCACTTCCGGCCCTCTCACAAAGGCCTCCCCGGAAATGAGAGTGGGAAGGAGATCCAAGGTTTTGGGGGCTGTGAACCTGTTGGCCTTGAGTAGTTGCTAGCAGAGGTCGCAGGGTGTCCGCAAATCCTCCCACATTGGAGAAAAAAAGAATGAGGACAAAAGTCCCACTGGGGAGAGGCTCCAGTTATCCTTTTTTAAGATAATGGCATCTTTGCTAGTAGAGGCGTGGGCTGAGCTGGGTGTGGGATTGCGGGCGCTCCTCCCTGTTTATGGGGTGGGTGTGGATTTAGAATGTGACCGAACTGGACATGTGCGCGCATAGAGGTCATGGAATCCAGATATTTTTGTGTTCATAATTATCATTGTGGTCATCAAAGTGGTAAATGCACACGTTTGAAGAATAGGAGGATTTGTAATGAGAAGCAAAAATTCCCTTTCCTCAGAGGCAGCCACTTTTAATCAGTTGTGTTTTTAGTTCTGATTCCTAAAAAATTGCTAAGTAAAACACTTGTATGCTATTTCTTGATTCGTTCATCTTAGTTACCTTTTGACTTCATGCCATGATAATGAAGATACAGAACACTACACTGTAGGGGAGGAAGACAAGTCCTCTACCCTCTGGGTCTTTTTGGTTGGGATACGAATTAAATTGGCATGAGACAGAATAATAGGAGAAAATCAAACAAAACATGTATACGTGGGAGAGACTCAGGAAAACTGAGCAACTCGTCAAAATGGCAGGGGCTCTTATCTTAAATATCATCTTCAGTTAAAGACAAAGGAGGATGTTGCAGGGTGGGGGGAGTCAGTTATGGGAGATTACCAGAAAAGCACAGTAAATAAGAGTAAGGTTATTACACAAATTTAAGTCCTTGCCTTCCGCATCGATAAGAGTGTCTAGAGATAAGGTCATCCCTCCCTTCTTCCTGGTACAGAGAGGGAGATACCTTTATAGATGGAGATTTCCCTTACAAATGTAAATGTCTCTTACAAAGGGTAAATTTTACTTTGCAGGGCTTCTCTCATGTCTGCAGTTTTTTTTAAAGTAATAATTCTTATTAGCCCCAAATAATCTTCACGCCAAAGAGACACATTTTGGGGTGGCCAATTCTGATCCCCCACAACACCATCCCCTTCTTCTTCTTTTTTTTTTTTTTTTGGTGAGGAAGATTGGCCCTGAGCTGACATCCACTGCCAATCTTCCTCTTCTTGCTGAGGAATATTAGCCCTGAGCTAACATCTGTGCCCATCTTCCTCTATTTTTGTATGTGGGATGCCACCACAGCATGGCTTGACGAGCGGTGCATATGTCCACATCCGAGATCTGAACCTGTGAACTCTGGGCCGCCAAAGCAGAGCATGCAAGCTTAACTACTATACCACTGGGTCAGCCCCTCACCATCCCCTTCTTTATCTCTCCCTAATTTACCTTTGTAACTTTAAACAACATAATAATCCCCCGTTTTTTAAGACTACACACTTGGGGCTGGCCTGGTGGTGTAGTGGTTAAGTTCGTGTGCTCTGCTTCAGCGGCCCGGGGTTTGCGGGTTCAGATCCTGGGCTCAGACTCTCGATGGAAAATAACTGATGACCATTCTATAGATAAGAGAAATAAGGTGAGTTTACTTGAGCCAGAGTGAGGATTATAACCCGGGAAGGCCTTAGAAAGCGTTCCGGAGAAGCATGGTTTTCAGTCCAGTCCTATATCTTTTTAGAACAAAGAACATACATTAAACACAGCCAGGATATGTTTTCATCAAAATTTCAAAAGGTATTCAGTTGCAAATTAGCAGGTCAACATGACCCCCTGTGATGTCAGGAAAGGGACTAATCTGGGCGTTACCAATAGGGCCCTACCAAGAGAGTGTTACTAATAGGGTGTAGGGGGGAAGTATGCATTCTTATCTTAAGAGACTGCATTCTTTACTTTGATGGTTAAGCAGATGTACAATGTATATTTGATAGGCCATAAGTCAGGCTTTTTAGTTCAAGCCAAATCAGTTTTGAACCCGAATAGTTACCCCATATACCTGAATATGTGAGAATCTCTTGTCATTTTCCCCTTTTGATCAACAATCTTTTGATAGAAAGTATTGCTGATCAAAATATTGTCACTCGGTGCCAGGGTGGTTGCTGCCTGCCCTGGGTTCCTCATGTCCCTCTGTGCTAGGCTTTTATTTATTTATTTATTTATGAGGAAGATCAGGCCTGAGCTAACATCCATGCCAATCCTCCTCTTTTTGCTGAGGAATACTGGCCCTGAGCTAACATCCGTGCCCATCTTCCTCTACTTTATGTGGGATGCCGCCACAGCATGGCCTGACAAGTGATGCGTCGGTGCCCGCCCGGAATCTAAACCCAGGCTGCCAGCAGCGGAGCACGCGCGCTTAACTGCTACGCCACAGGGCCAGCCCGGTGCTAGGCTTTTATTTTATTGATTTGCCCAGTTATCTGCGTTGGGGGGAAATAGTCAGATATAGTGGACAAGCGTAGAGGTATATATTAGCAGGGGAAGTGTTTCATAGGTTATGTAATTTGTCAGTTATTTTTAGGTTATCCCACAAACGTTGCACATGTGCTTTTACATGACTTCCTATAGTTACATTGTTTATAACAATTATAGAACAGATAATATAATACTTGATTAGCTTAAAAATGAGTTTTTAGGCACAGCCTTAATAAGAAAAGGAGGGCCGGCCCTGTGGCTTGGTGGTT